CACTGCGTTACCACCTTTTTTTTCTATCCACAATTTTACCCTATTTTACCTGATTTATGTTTTTATTTGTTTTGTGCAGAGAAAAGGAAGAGATTGACTTCATGCTTTGCCATGAAATGTCTCATTTTCATGATTTAGAATTTTTCCAAAAATTGTTATAACGTTTCTTCCAAATATCCTTAGAGAAGACTTGTTTTATACATGTTATCACGGAAATTGTCCATGTCATACTTTCTACTTTTATCCAGATTATGGTAACATATTAAATTGCGTGTAAATATTGTTATCCTTTTTAACGCTACGCGATTACTTGCAAGATATTCTAAAGTCATAGACAGGCTTGTGCAACGAGATGCCTGAAGTTCACGTTCGTCTGCGTTACACTGCGATCCCACAACGTCTTGTGCTCATTTCGCAATTTTACAGCTGTTATGCAAAGTTCAAGTAATTTCTGCTGTATATTAACATAATTAAGTACAGATCACATCTTAGCTTTCCTCGCTTCAATTTGCACTTGAACTAGTATAGATTTCGTTTATCTTTTCGATCCACCGGAAGCTCAAGGCCACAGCGCTTTGTTACACATTGTGAGGCGTTCTGCTCTTACTGAATCTCTTGGCAATATTGATAACAGCACATTGATGTGACAGTTTTTCAGCTTTTTCTAGAATTCCTTTCCATAGTGGGATAGCGTATCCACGTTGTGCTTCTTTAACTCCTTTTTAAGGTATCCAGAGCATCCTACTCTGTGGAAACGCTGCGCTCTTTTTGAGAGTCCTCCAAATGTTTCTCTATTTTCGCTGATATTGAATCCAATTGCAAGCTGTTTCAGTTTGCTACACGCTACTCGTGTCCAGTATTTCTCTCACAACCACGAATTTCTTCTTCCATGCTTGGGTTCACCAATGGTTACAGAGATCTTCGTCGCGTCGATTGCTTTAAGATTTGAATTTGTCACTTTCTCCCTTCGCTATGCAGAATTTTTGTTTTATTTTTGTAGTGGTTTAGACCGTTTGATTTATAATTTTTGGCAGTTCTTTCATAGTTGCAGTCTCCAGTTCTAAAAGGTTCTCTATTAGCATTGTTTCATCGATTTTCCCTCCTAGACTAGGCACGAATACGATTGCGGGCGTAACGATGGGCAATGGACATGGAACTCCAAACAGTGAGTTAAAATTCAGTCCTTTGCATGCTTGTACATACGCACACGCATAAAACGACTCAATAAGTGAACCAATCACAGTATATGTGGCGTACATGCAGACTTAAAAATTGTGGATAATTTATTATAGGTTGAAAGACAGAGAGTGAAAAGTGTCAGAGAGGTTTCTTCATCCTTGAATATAACTCATTATGGAAGATAGAGAAGTTAATTATAATATCTAATTCGAATACTTGTACTGCGAGGATGTTCAGAAACTTTACAAATTTTCTTTAGAACTTTATACTTTGAGTCAAATCCGACTTTTGCTCAAATCAGAAAAGATGTACATCATAAACAAAACACTTCGGAAACATGGTAAACCATAGCATTCAGCT